TCTGCTTAACTAGTTTCAAGAATGTTGTGGCCTGTGTTAATGTCACAGCATTTATGGCAATAAAATGGTGCTCCAGTACAGTAGGAACAGCACTACAGAATTCCTGAACCACTGCCAAGACTACTGCCCGTTTCATACAAGTTCCTATTCAGAAGCTGGTCTACTATATTTGCAATTTGAATTGCAAATACAAGCTAGGTCTGCTAGAACTCTAAGGACACGTAGATTCACATCAGGTTTCTCAAGGGAACACAGTCCAGCTCAGTCCTGACCTCACAGCACTTCACTGGAGTCAAAATACACTGAACTGAGCCCCAGCAGCATTTTGATTCCTACTAAATCAGCTGATTGCAGAAAGCTAAAGTAACTGATTTCTGTCCCTCCTGTGTGTGCCTGCACATAGGAACACAAAGACACATATGTGTATTTCCCTGTCCATCCTGCAAGTCCTCTGCTCCACTGGAGCAGGAAAGACCCTCTGGACTGCGACCAGCTGAGATCACGGCTCACAACAAAGTCACAGCTTATCTTCTAGTTACAGAGAGAAAGAGCTCTCCGGGCCTAATTTGGCTCATCTTTCTTTAGCAGGCATTACCAGGGACAAATGCATCTGCTCATAAAACACAGAACACTCCGGAGAGGGGGGAGCCAGGACGAGGCAGCTGCCCGACAGTGTAAAGCAAGGAAATTACTTGCTTGAAACCTCAACCTGAACTCCGACTGCGTGCTACAGCACTTCTGTGCCCTAAAACACATTTCATTATAGAAACCGGCAGCAGATGCCTTTGTATGCCACAGAACTCACCGGGGGAAGCCCCAGCACTTAAGCTAAAGATGCAAGCCCCTGCCTTTTCGCTCAGCAGCGGTGGGAGAACAGGCAGGCGCTTGCCCCAGGCTGCTCAGGAGCCCCCGGTTTTCCTCGGAAAAGGCTCTGTCCCCAGGGCCAACAAGCCCGAGCAAACCCCGGGAGTTAAGGGTGCTCAGCTCTAGAGGCAGGCACTGTTGCACAACTCCAGCTAACCCAGCGCTGCTCAAAGCCAGCTCTGCTAAGACCACTCCGCTCCCTGCCTGGGTTTAAGGCACATAACTGCGTTGTTTCCATTGACTTCTTGCCAAGCTCAAACCAGCCTGGTGGGAAAAAGAAAAAAAAAAAAAAAAAAAAGTCTTTAAGAGTTGAGTATCAGCTTCGTCACCTCCCCCCACCCCAAACAAGCTTCTAAAGACCTGAACTGGTACAGGTTTTATTACAGGGATACCGGGGCCAGCACCAGCCGTGCCGAGGCAGCAAGAGCTGTTTGCAAACCTGGGTGGGACAACACCGGCAAGGAGCCTGGTGCCTGCAGCAACACTTGATCCGACGGGGAAAACACAGCCAGCCCTCGTTCCCACCCCTCGAGAGGGGGCTGAATCACCCAGCTTAACTGAGCTATTCAAACACAACAGTTAAAGCCATTCTCTACAAGTGCTCAACCCGACCTCAGCAGCACTTGTAGCAAATACCTTCTGGTGTCTCCCCACCTTTCACTCAGGCCACAAAGTAAGACTTCAACCCAAGCTCTGAAGTCCCCAGTTTCACAGAACACCATGGCAGTGTCCAGCCTTCCCAGCTGGAGAAAGGCCACCAGATCAGTTATCACCAGAACCGAGCACAGCATCCTACAGGGTGCTCCTCCAAAAAGCTTATTGGAACAGGGCAGACAGCGGCATTTCCCAGGACTAACCTCCCGGTTTACATGTTGAGCACTCCAAGGTCTGTGCAAAGACACAAGCAGCACCTTGAAAGAAGAAGAATTAATGAAAGGCTGAACCCCATGAGACCCAGGTACCCCTTCATCTATCTACTTCCACAGCACCTGCTGTGGAGAAAATACCACTGCTGTTCCCACAACCAAAACACTTTTCTTCCAAAAGCGTCCTCTTTATAGGCTTAATCCACCACAGTTCTTGCTCACTGGCTCTTCCAATACAGTCAGGTCCCATTTATTACCTGGACAATCAGGATCCTGCAGATGTCTAGCACAGTTCACTCATCTGTTTCCAGGCTGAAAAATCCCAATTGACTTCCAGCTTCTGATGGCAGAAACCCTTCTCTTCCTCTCCCAAACATCACCAAGCCCCACTGTGATCCTCTCAAGGTGTTCAGAAGACCAGAGCAGCTCACAGGACACTGGCATGCCATGGATTCGTGCAGCTTTAGGCCAATCTTCCCTCCCCTCTGGGATCTTCACTTCTGAAGCTGGTTTTGCTGTGCTGGTGCTGAGTTGGTGCTTTTGTGAAGCCATCCCAGATCCTTTTCTCCCAAGACTTCATTGCTCTGTGGCAGCATCTGCCCTTGAACCATCAAGTTGATAAATCTAGGCTGCTTCTTTCTGAAGAATCTTCTCTGCCTCTTCCAGATGCACCAATGTGCGCCACTCTTCATGTATCCCAGAACAGCATAAAGCAAAAACCCAGCATTCAAAAAAATTCATTGCATTCCAGCCCTCCAGCACTGAGATGGATGGTGAATGGGGGGGTTACCCAATTGCAATGTATTTATAATTCTGAAGTAACTGTTGTGTGACCCTGCAGAGTTGGTAACCAGCATTTGCTGCTGTTTCTTCTCCTCTGCATCAAGAAGTCACAGTTCAAGCCTGTGCAGGACTCAGGGTCAAAAAGACACATTATGGCACTGAACTTCAAGATCCTCCCCAGTAGAATGAAGTCCTTGCAGAACAACACTCCCAAAACTCTGACACTCAGACCTATTACTGCCTGTCCTTAAGGACTCCCTGGGAAGCTCCCTAGTCCCAATGTGTCTGAAGAGGGGTTATTACCTGGATTTACTTTTGTCATTATTCCTAAACCTTTCCTCTGGCTAACTTTGTTGTACTTTTACATTTGACCCACCAGCATTTAAGAACCTTTATTTCCTTCCTTTCAATACAGCTTCAAACTTTGGCAGTTCCCCAATTTTTGTTTTAATAACCTCCTATACCAAGATGTTTCAGCCTTTATGCTTCCTCTCACCCTCCCTCAAGCCTCTGATGGATGCAAACACATGCCACCCAACATGCCACCCACAACTACCTGCAGGTTTTGCTGCAGATCTTTGAAATCCCTCACCTGTCCTTTTGAGGCAACTTATTTTTTTAGAAGTGAGTAGAGAATTGCACTCTGGTACCACCACACTTCCGCTCAATTTACTGCCATTACTCCACAGACTTTTCACATCTCCAATGCTCCAAAAAGCCGCCTTTCTTACTAGGGTGGTTCCTTCGTTGTGGTGCTGCCAGCCCCAGGACACTTCTCCCTGTGTGCTGTTCACTGAGGCCTAACAGGCCTGATACTGCTGTTTTATTCTTCCACAGAGGACACCACGCTCTCAACTAACACTTCCAACACTTTCGGCAGGGCTCAATGACAAATGGTGACTCCCAAAAGCCAAGGACTACTCCAGCTGGTCAAACACACACCCACCTCTGGGCTACCCCAAGCTGTTTGAATTTTACTGCCTCTTTCAGCTTCCAGACACTTGCTGGGATATTCAAGATGCATTAATTTCCCTTTAGGTTTTTTTTTTCTTACTCTTCTCTGTCCCACATGCTACCTGGATTCTGCCAGCTACTTTTCCTCCCCTCCACCTCGTTAACAGGTCAGTCCTGCATCCGTGTTTACTGAACACTCAAAGGTGCAAGTAAAGCTTCAGAGCTTTATTATCACAACTCTCCCAAGCAACAGGCACCTCCTGAGCTAAAAAAAACTCCTTGCTCTTTATTCTCACCCCTGGGCCCCAGAGACCAAGGTGGTGATGCTCACCTCAAGAGCTTCTATGCAGCAACAACGAGCACTTTTGTTCTATAAAATAAGTTTGTACAAACTCCGTAGCTTTAACAAACAAACTAAAAACCCAACCACAAAGCAAACAGGTCTGTTTCAACATAAGGTTTAGAAACTCACCGACCCAGAGGTCTCAGACAGTGCTTTTTTTTTTGGCTTTTTCTTCTCATCAGCCACAACCCTCCAAACGGGACACCCTTGCTCGCTCTCCTGGTGAGTCTCGGGTGGCAATACTTTCTTTCCTGTGCCAACTGCTTCTGCACAACTTCCCTCTCCGTTTTCTCAGCTTTGCCGAAACCCACGCTTTAAGTTGAGACATCACGAGTCTTTTATCCCTTTACCACTGCGCCTTCCACTCATCCCACGAGCAGTGCCGCGAAACGGGCTCCAAAAGTGCCATCTTCCCGCAGCTCCAACTTAATTCCTCCGCAGAGGAGGGTCACACACGCGCTCCTCCACCGCGGCAAAAAGCCCAAGGAAAATCTGCGCGCCGAACCTCACACTTCTCGCCTATCCATCGGGCACACACGGGCCGCGCTGCCCCGGTACTTTTCCACGGAGCGGACAGCGCTAAATTTGAGATGCCCACGCCCCGAGAGCCTGGGGACAGCCACGACCCCGCAGCTCGGCCGTGCTTCGTGAGGCTGCCCGGCGAACCAGAGGCAGGCAGGAACCACAGAGCACGGCGTTATCTATCCTGTGCTGGCGGCTGCGCTCCCACAGATCAGGACGAGTTCAGGGCTCCCTCTGCCAAGGGAAGCCGCGGTTTCCACCGAGGCTCCCCCCAGGAGTTCACACACGCGGGACAACCACGAGCAGCTCACGCCGGGCACAGCCCCGCCACCGGGAAAGCCAACGAGCAGCAGGATTTGCGTGGATTTTCCGGGAGAGGGACGGGTCCTACCACCTCCCCAGCACCGACACCGGCGCTGCCCGCACCCCCAGCATCCCCTCCCCGCCCGGCAGGACACACGGACCGCCCCGTGATAACCGCGGTCCTACGGGAGAAAAAAACCCATAAATAAAGCGGGGAGCACCCGGGAAACCCCCCGCCCCTCTCCTGCGGGGCGGCGGAAAGTCGGGAAAACGGCAAAAACCAAGCAAGAAAAAAAAACCACGCAAAACACCGCGCTCCCTCCCCGCCGGGCAGCGGGGCGGGCACGGCCCCCGGGGAGCCTCACCCAGAAGATGAAGTTGAAGCCGAAGAGCAGGTACTTGATGCACTTGGTGCCTCCTTTGACGGGCATGGCGGCGGCTCCTGCAGGCGCGGTCGGGTCGCGGCGAGGCTCCCGCGGGCCGGCGCCGCTCCTTAAATGCGGCCGTGCCCCGGATCCTGCGGGGACTCCGCTCCGCCCGCCCCCGGGGCCGCCCCGCACCTGCCGCCCGAGCCGCCCGCCCCGCTCCGCTCCGGGGATCGGGGAATGCGGCCCTGGGACGGCCCTCCCAGGGACTCGTGGAACGCCCCGAGCTGGGAGGGACCCGCAGGGATCGCCCCAGTCCCGATTCCCGGCCCCGCGCAGAGCAGCACCCGCGATCCCACCGCGGGTGCCGGGAGCGCTCCCTGGGCTCGGGCAGGCTTGGGGCCGCTCCCGGTGCCCGACCACCCTCTGGAGGAAGGACTTTGTCCTTATACCCAACCAAACATCCCTTTACCTCCCTCCCCGGCCCCCCAACCTGCTCTTAAATGCATCACAGAGTCACAGGCTGATTAGGGTTGGAAGGGACCTGTGGAGATCACCCAGTCCCAACCCCTTGCCAAGGCACGGTCACCTGGAGCAGGTGACACAGGACCGTGTCCAGGGGGGCTTGGAATCTCTCCAGAGAGGGAGACTCCACACCCCTGCGCTGGGCAGCTGCTCCAGTGCTCGGCCACCCTCAGTGTAAATAAGTTCTTCCTCGTGGGGAGGTGAAACTTCTTATGTTTCAGTTTATGGCCATTGCTCCTTATCCTGGGCACGTTGAAAAGAGCCTGGCACCATCGTCCTGGCACCTGACTGCATGAATGAGATCCCCTCTCAGTCTTCTCAGCCCCAGCTCCCACAGTCTCTCCTCCTAAGAGAGATGCTCCAGACCCCTCATCACCTCTGTGGCTCTCTTCTGGATGTTTAGTGTTAACTTAAATGCATCAGTCTCGATTAAATGGGTATTTTCCTACACCAGATAAACTTACAGCATAGTTTAGCTCCTTTAATCTTTCAAGTATGTCTGTATAAAGTTATAAACATGCACTTTAGGAAAATAAGGTGGGATAAGTTTAAGCCTGCCAAGAGATCCATGCTAACTGGTTGTGCTCCTGCCCTTAGGTCACCCCAGTTGTGAGAATAAACATGCTGAATTTCAGCTAAGAATTTTCCTTTCATTTTAACTGGGAGTTCAGCACCTCACTTCTGAGCCTGTTAGCTCAGGAACAAAGGCTGAGGGCTTGTACCTTAATTTATCTTTAATACAGTGGGACTAGAAATTCAACAGGTACTGAGAGTCAAAAAGCCCCCTGAGCAGAAGAGTAAGAACAGAGAAGCCTCACTGAAATGCAAATAAAAACGTGTTGGTGTTATTGTTGCCAAAATAAATGATAAGACAGAGCACATTCCAGAGGTGAGGGAGAGACATTGACTTGGGCAGCTGTTTCGCAGAGCAGGTTACAAAACATTGATACGTTTTCATCAGAAAGCAAGGCAAAATAAAATAAAGAGCTTGGAAAAATGCAAAGATGGTTGGGAGTAGCCAAACCGAGAGGCTTCTGTTGCTGCTGCAGGACAGGTATAAGTGGCAAAGGAGAGTTTGGGAAGCGTGGCTGGCTGCTGTGTTGCTGTTTGTGAGTCATGCCTGCCTCAACCAAGCATCCAAGTAGCCTGACTCTCTGTGAGTCCCAAAGCAGGAGAACGGGGAGCTGTGGCATATTAAAGGATGCCATCAGAAGTTTGCTGCTGCTTTTGATTTGGGATCCCTACACAGGCTGCTCATTGAGAGAGGGGGGGGCGAACGGTGCTTAACTTGAAACCAATTCTACACCAAGCATTTTGGTTTGTTCTCCAAAATAAGGGGAAGCAGAGGGAGAGAGCAAGGCTGAAATGAGTAAGAGCAAGTGACTAAACTCCTGTGTAAACTGGGGAAGGGCGAGTCCTGTGTCTCAGACTCATTTTCAGTATGGCTTTTGAGTTGGTTTTCTTTCGTCACTTTGCCACTAAGAATTTATGCTGTTAGGTAATGTCAGTAATGTGGTTTCCCCTAACTTTCTAAAATTAGGAAACAAGGAAAAACTTTGCATGCCTCCCCTCCTGCCCTTGTATTATTAAACTCTTCATGCTTATGCTGTGTTAAAGGAACTCCCATTAAAATTCATGGGCAGTAGCCTTTTGATCAGAAGCAAGAAATGGACCTGTTGGATCAAAACCTCACATGAGTGGGTAAAAAATTAAGCTCTCCCCATTCATCTGGTGAATTAATTTATAAGGAAGTGAAATACATCTGTGCATCTTTAATATTCACAAGAATATGGAATGAGAGCAATTAGAATCTGCGCTCGTGTGGGGCTTGTTTTGTCAATCCCTGGGAAGGATCCGGAGAGAACATTTGTGTTTCACTCTTCAAGGGTCTGATCATCTGGTAGATGCATCTCTTTGACCATACCTCAAGCTCTCTGACTAGTGGAACGAGATAGTAATCATCTGATTTTCTGCATTACAGAAATCACTAATGGAGACTGAAGGCCCTAGTAGAAGTACTTCAAAATGATTTATTGCTTTAAAACTTTGTATTTACGTGGGATAATAGGCATGAAACACATGATAATTTTGCATGAAACATTTATTATTTGCACTTAAAAATTGTACAGCGTTATTTTGTCCTACTGCAACAGAGACAGCAAATTCAGGATATTGCTGATAAGAAGCAATCTGAGTTTACCAGAAGCCTTTTAAAATTACCCTTCTGATAATCTAGATGCAACACTGACTTAGTTTTCCTATACAGATAAGCTGAATTACTTTATTCTGCTTTAGTGTTAAACTGACTGTCCTGTTTGGGCCAGTTGTGAAGTTTGTTTCTCACTGGGAAGGGTTTTCCCCTCTGGCTGCACCATCCAAGGACCCTGATTCATATAGCAAAGCAAGGGAGAGTGAGGCTTTCTCTCCTGGCTGTATTAAAGGACAGTGGGATCCACTGGTAAGAACAGCAGAATTCCTGTGGTTCCCAGCCTCTTTGAGCTGTTTCCCCCTTATCTCTACCTCGTGAATATGTGGAAGGACCAGTGTCAAGGAGCTCGAGGCCTTTAGCCTTCTTTGCATAAACAACTTCAGGTCTTTCAAAATCTTTCTTTCAGCTCTCTTAAACTGCCAGGCATAAACTATTGGAACTGCAGAGAGATAAAGTACAAAGCTTTCCCCAGTGAAGGTTAGGGATTAACAGAGTTTCTTGAGAAGTGTGGATTAAAGGAGAAAAATAATAACAATTTTGTTCTTCGTAGAGAAATAACATCTCTTACTGTACCAGCCAGACACAAAAAGAAAAAAAAAACCCAAAAGGTTGTTTTGCTTGTTTTTTTTGCTTCAGTGATAACTTTTTGCTGTGCAAAGGGTGATTGTGGTACACTCTGTGCTGGGCTGGATCTGTCCATCCGGTGAGGAAACATACAACTTCTCTACTGCCAGGGAGTTGAGAGTTTAGGATGACCCAGATGACGCTGATGTAGAGTCTGTGGCTTCCTATTTCCTCTTTTCCCTTAAAATCCACCCCCAAGTTCATCTGTGACGTTTCAGGTTCAGTGCCTTGCTTTTTCTGTTCTCACCTTATCAAACAATATTTTACAGGCACTTACTTTGCTCATTTCAGTAATTTGGAGTGGGGATGGATGGAAGAGGAGCCAGGATGGGTGAGTGGTTCCTGCTGGCTTTCATATCAGAGGCTGCGAGGGAGAGGCTGGTCCTGGAGCAGGAGAATCGAGACTGTCATTCCATTGCAAAATGGAATGAGTCATTGCAGAAAATGCCTCACAGATTCAGTCACGCCGATAATAACTCCTCGTCAAAGGCCTTTTTCCACCGATGGGAGAAAAATGTTTGGTGTTTGGTATCCATAACAGATAAACTCTGGGAGAACTCGTGCTGTGAGTAAAGCTGAGCCTCCTGGAAGCGTGTCTGCTTTCTGCCACGAGAGAAGGGCTTTGAGGGAACCACACAGCCCTGTGAGACCTCACTAGAAATTAGGTCTTCCTCTGTAACTGGAGGTGTAGCTGGAAGTGGAAACCCAAAGCCAGGTTTCTTAATTTTCTATGTTTTAAATATACTTTTTTAGATTTTATTTTACTTTTTTAAACTGAGATTGGAAGAAGTTTAGAAGAGATTTAGGCACATCCTTGCAAATATTTGGCATAAAACATTTGTGTATGATACATAAGTAGTGACAGTGTCAGGAAAGCAACTGCAAAGCCTCAATATGAACTTAGGAACCCGTATAGAATTGTTTCATAATGACTTATCATTTTACTGGAAAATCTCAATATGAACTTAGGAATCCTTATTTCATAATTGCTTCAAATTGTTTCCTAATCAGTTATCACTTTCAAACTCTGAGATAAAATACACGGGGATAAAAAGCAAAAATATTTTGTTCTTAGTCGTTTAAACTTAAACTTTTAGTCAAAGTACAAGCATCCGTTCCAAATAATTCAGACTCTTTCTTAATACCAGTGATGAAAGTAGGTCATTTCAGGAAGGAAGGGTGTCAGGAACAGGCTCTGCTCCGTGGGACCCAGCAGCAGGACAAGAGGCAATGGGCAGAAAGTGATGCCCAGGGAATTCCCCTGAACAGGAGGAAGAACTTTCCTGTGGTCCCTTCCAAACAGAACCATTCTGGGATGTGGAAAATGTGACAGTTTTACTTTGGGAAAAGAAAACACACCTACCTTTTTAATTGTCACAGAACACAAAAAATGGTCTGCACGCCCCTTAATTTTTCGTGGCAGCAGTTTGACGCCACGGAACGTGTAGAATATAGTTTAACTCCTTTTAAACTACCATTTCAGACCCTCCTGCTTCAGACAGCAGTGCCTGACCCTGGTTTCAGCACGTGAGCAGTCTCATGTCTGCAGGAACCCAGAGCTTTAATAAACAACAGACTGTTGGTAGTGACAAGTGCTGTTACCCTGAAAGGTTGCAAAACGCCTGTTTGGAAATTGTGACTGTAACGTGGATGCAGCCCCGAGTGTGATTCATCTGACCACCTCGCTCCCTGTGTGTGTCAGACCTCTTGGTAAAGGTGAGGTTATTTTAGGGGCAGAGGACAGAAGCAGGGCCACAGGCTGTGGCTGCTGTCGAGGTTCATGATCTTGTATCAGGTTGTTGAGCACAGGGGCCCACGATGTGCCACATGTCCCTTGCTGTAATTTAGCTCTGTAGCACGTGTGGTGACCTAGGGCAGACCTGTCTAGATGTCACCAAGGCCCAGGTGGTGACTTTCGTGGGAGGCACTGGAAAAGTAATCCTGGCTTTCCTAGCACGTGAGTGAGAGAGAAATACAGGCAGCATTAGAAAACTGTGTGTGGCTTGAGATCTGTGTCTGATAGCTGAGAAAACACAGGCCTCGATGTGATCTCTCATTATTGTGAAGGGCAGGTGCCAATGCCTGCCAAGGGTCCCTGATTCTGACTTGTACCCCTTGACTGGGGCTCTGACACGAGGCTCTTTAGAATAAACCAAAGTGTTGCTCTAAAAAGAAAAGCTTCCCCTGCTGTGAATTGCTGGCATAAAACTGGTGACACCCAGGTACTCTCTTGCATTTTTATTCTCTGCTTCTCACCGAGGTGTCCCTGGGTTTCACCTGTGTCTCCAGTGGAAGGAATGACTCACATAGGGTCAAGCTTTTAAAACGTCAGCGATTCCTTCCCACGTGCTGCCGCCCCAGGGCTGCTCTGGAGCACTTCTGCACTGCTGGAGGGCTGGGGGAACTACCTGCACAGGCTGAGTGGTGTTCCAGTTAAAGTGTAAACACTTCCCTGTGTATCAGGTCCCAGTGTGCAGCTCAAACAGACCAAAACCAGCCAAGAATTTGGTTTCATAAAGAGCTGTGCCGTGGATTCTCAGGCTGCTCCTCCCAGTGCTGCCAGGTTGTCAAGACGTTGTATTTAACCCGAGGTTCGTGCTCCCATTAGGTGTTTTACAGTTGGAATTTATGATGCAAAGCAGTCTGAACGCTCCAGCAGGATCTCAGACTTATAAATCCTTTTTGAATGTGTGAGTGTAAATATTTTTCACAGCTAACTAGGAGCGCTGGAGTTACACAACTGAGCTTTTGGAACGCTGAGGGTTTGACTTTCATTCAGTGTGAGAAACCAGGAAAACTAATACTTAGCAGTGAAGAAAGTGGGGATATTTTCCCCCCAGTTTTCAGTTATCCTGAAGTGTTCCAGGAGATTCTTCCCACTGTTCTCTCATAAAGCAAACTCCCTTTCCTCATGAAAAGGCCAAGAGCAACAAAAAAAAAAATTATCCAAAACAACAACAATAAACAAACAAGCAAATAAAATCATACATGAAAATAAAAACAAATTGGAAGATGCCTCTTATTTTTAGCAGTAGTGGTTTATTAGGGTGTCTGAGGGTACACAAAAAAGCTCCATAAGCTCTATCTTCACTGAAAATTAGCATGACTTAATTATTTAGAATAACATCCTCCCTGCCTGAAATGGAGAGGGTTTTATTCCTGGGTAACCACACAGCACTTGCAGGTGAAGTTAAATGATTTTTAATTCTGAGATAGCACTCATCTGAGGAAGCTGGCCTAGACAGATATTCCAGCACGGGTTTAATTCACGGTGGACTTTCTTTTCCAGTTTTGTCCTCAACTTCTTTATTTTACAAACACATGAATTTTAAGCTTGCAAACCACTCTTTGGTTATTAAAGCAGCTATGTGTAGCTTTGGGTTCGTGGATAAAAAAATAGCTGTTTGTAGGGTTGAGCTTTATGTTTTATTCTATTGATTTATCTCTCTTACTCCTTACCCTTCCATGCCCACTCCAATTAGTTCTTGGATTCTTCTCACATTTTCTTGGTTATTTTCCTTTTCTCCCTTCAGTTTCTTTTAACTGTCTTGAGAACTGAGGAGGACATATTGCTGAACAGGAGAAGTTGCACTATTGAATATTGCTCCTTTGAACCTGTCAGTTCTGCAGATGTCATTTGAGGTCTCTGAGAAAAAAAAAAGCACTATGGAACTATATCTCCAAATGAACTGTTTATTTTTGTCATTCTAGTGAGGTCATTGACTTTAATGGCTTCTGTGGGATGATAAGTGAGCAAGAATAGGGTTTCTCAACTATTCCTGGTTACAGACTCCTAGTGTCATCATGAGGTCTCTGGTCATTTCCTACTGATCACACCACAGATTGCTTCATAGCTTGAGAAGCCTGTGAAAAAATCACTTCCCCTTTCCTTGAGCATCGCTTTTTTTTTTTACTTCACAAAATCTTTCCTGCAGACCTGGAACAAGACTCAATGCCCACAGGTGGCAACTGCTGCTTTGGCTCTCAGCATGTGGGTCATCCACAGCTGGTGTCACAGGATTATTATTCATAGGAAAACTCTTAACAGGACTTTAATTGCCGGTGTTGCTGGGCTGCAGCTCATCTTTGCGTGTGAGGAGGGCTTCTAACTGTGTCACGTACTTTACATCAGGAAAATCAGCTGACAAGGACCCAAAATGTGCTCCTTGTGGACCCTTCTTTTAAAGTGCAGGTGAGCATTTGTCTCTGAAATTATCAGGAGGTGCTTGAACACCTTCTCAGGCTTTGGAAAGTAATGCCAGAGTCATGCAGTGTTGACAGTTTTATTTTTAGTTGTTCTAATACCATAAGAGTGGAGGGCAAAGTGTTGTTGGGCAGGCATCCAGCTGGTATATGCAACACATTATGAAATTTATTTTGCTACAGCTGCTACTGAAAAGCACGATAGGATGGGTCCCTCCCCGTTCTCAGCACTTCAGAGCATTTGGCCAATCACATTTGCTGTTGTCAAATGTAAATCAGCTGGGAAGCTGTTGCATCAGCTTTATAAATGTGATGGATGTTGTGTGGGGAGCTGAAATTCTCTGCTTTGATTCTTTTGCTCTCTGTGCTTACCTGGACATTTAATCATTTCAGGGATGGAATGAGAGAAGCAGAGATCATCAGGACCTGCTTGAGGCAAACCAATCTGTATCTTCAAGAGTAAGAGCAAGAAATAAGTTTTTACCTTCAATCTGTGACTTTCAGGCATTGTCAAATGGAAACAACTCCCTTCTTTCTTGGAAAAAAAAATATTAAGAGTTTAGGAAGTAGCAGAGGAAAGAAATACATCATATATGGGGCTGTTCTTTAGAGGAGGTAAAAGAAATGTAAAAGCCAAGGTGAGGAAATTCTGAATGTTGTGAGTCAATTTAGAAGAGGGAGGCTGCAGCAAATTTGAGCTGATTGCCAAGTCTTTTTTAATGAGTGCCCAGACAAGGCTGTATTTACATTAAATCCAGAAGCAAAGCGAGATTTTCAGTATGAATAGGTTGCTGAACGTGCTTTCCCTTTTCCAGATGATACTGTTAGGGGCAAGGTGACATTCTTTCATCAAAGACAAAATGTGGTGAGTAAAGTAAAGGAGCACTATGTTTTATATCTTACAGCTGTTCTCATGTGTTTCTTCATGTGGCTCACACCGCCTTGAAATGATGGACACAGACTTCTTCAACTCCTCAAATCACCATTAATTAAATTATTTATTAAGCCCTCCTGGAGAAATCTGGGCCAGTTCATGCCCTGTGGCATCGCTCAGGAAGGTTTGTTTCCACGGGAGGGTTTTCAGAGAGTGAGGTGTGTTTGTAAAGCCAGGGCTTTGTATTTCTTCCCATCTCAACCTCAGCTTGTGTTATGTTAAAATCTGTCTTTAAAAGCACAGCTATTACTCTACTTATGTCAACATAACTTGTGAAACTTTCTTGTTGTGGAGCAAAACTACAGGTCTTAGGATTGCTTGGTGAGCCCCAGGTGAACTTCAATTTGCTGGCCACTGACAAGTGCAGCTTTTCTGACCTAGTGCCCCAACCTCCAGATGAAACTCATGGATGGAAACAAGAATCCAGACAGGGCACAATTGAAAATCATCTCTTCTGTACCTACAGAGTCATGAAGTAAGGATTGAAGGCCTCCTTAGAAATGGTGGTTGGTATGTGTATTTCTGGGTATTCTTCACGTTTGCAAAAGAGGCAGTGTTAGAATCTCTAAATTTTAAGTCTTGTTTATGTAATATTTTCTGAAATGAGTCTTCACCTGAGAAGCCAAAGAGGCTGTAAATAAGCATCACGGTATTATTTCAGGTTGTTGTTGTTTGTTTGCTTGTTTGTGGTTTTGCTTGTTTGGTTTTTTGTTGTTGTTGGGTTTTGTGGGTTTTTTTGCAGATATAAATAAAGTCCCTTGGTTTTGATTTGAGATGTAATCTTACTGACCTCACTATTAAATTTGAAATTATATTTGTACTGTGCATAGCCATAATTTCAGATATTGCTGCTCTAAAGTTGTGTTGGATCTACAGCTTTGGTCGGTCAGTTTTTCTCTGGTGACTTCAGTTGATCAGTCTTGGCTTTCAGACTTTAAAGCACTGTTGAGTTCTTTAGAAAGCATCTTGTGGCAGGGAGGTGAGTTTGCTGCAAGGGAGCCTTACAGCAAGCAGTGAGGATTTCCTAACAAGTTGTACCCTCTTCTAGGAGTGGGAAGTTGAGCGCTCTAAAGCCGAAGCGTGCAAGGAAGGCTTGGCTCTGGAGAAGTCTTGTTAGAAGGCAATTGATTCCAACTCCAAACTGAAGGGGAAAGATGTTAATAGTCAGCATAATTGAAGTAGGAGGGAATTAAATCCTCCTCTTAAATCTTTTGAGATGCCTGAAGGTGTGTTTTCTCAGGGCTAGACTGGGTGTTCTTATTTCCTTAAAGGATTAAAGCTGCTCAATAAACCTGTGAAGGCTCCTCCCGGAGGAAGGAGGGGCAGTCTCTCCTGCTGATGTGGAGGATAAGGGTTTGAAGTAAAGTAGACCCAAACCTGGATAGCCTAGACCTAGAAAAAAAAAATAATAGAAGCAGTAGACCTTTTGGAGTGTCCTGGGGAAAAAGATGAGTAGAGTTCTTAACTTTAACAACCACTCTTCAAATGCTAGCAGGCAGAGGCAGACTCAGAGGTGTGTCTCAAAACTGGCATGTCGATTCTAGCCTGCTGATGGCTCTAAAACTTCAACAAATTTCAAGTAATAAATCCCTTTCCTACCAGAATGTTGTGATCTTGCTTGTCTGTGGGCATTGTGTTGTTCCTTGATGACTCTGAGTTTGACTTACAGCGTGCTAACTTGTTCCTAAAAATTTCCAATAACCTGTTGTATCTCTGAACCCAAACACAAGCGTACACGAAATGAACCTCAGTTCTGCCTGTCTAGGTATGGTCTCTAACGTGCTATAAATTCTGATGTGTCTGGTTAATATGAAGTGTAGACACTGATCTTGTAGAAAAGCGATTTTTTTAAAATGATTTCATTTTTACCTTTCGTTACTCACGTACAAACTCACTGCCACAAAGCTGGTCCAGTGTTTGGTCTGACTCATCATGGAAACTTGAGGAAATGTTTAGCTGGAATTGCAAACCTGTCAGAGTTGTATACAGAGCAAGAAAGGGTTTATTTTGTTAAGCCTCAGAGCTTGGTATTAGCTTAAACTGTAGTTCTCAGATGTCCTCGTTGTTCTCTACTCAGAGGGCTCTGCCATCAATAAAAAATAAGGGTCTTTTAAAAATACTCAGCAGTGTGTGGATATCTCTATTTTTAAGTCTCTATACAGAGTGGTTAACTTAAATTGCCAAGCTTGAAGATTTCGCCAAGTATCTTTATTATTCTAAAGCAAGTCATGGAAAATTATCAGAAAGGGGTGTTTGAAAGTTATCTTTTGAAATTAAAAAAAATATCCCCTGTGGATATGGCTTGAGGTTGCAGTTTAGGGCATGACAAGTGTCACTCAGCCCCTAAGAGGCAGCACTCGGGCTAAGGTCCATCTGATTGTTGATCCATTTGATTCTTTTATTTCTTTTTAATCTATTTTTCTTGAACTTCGTTGCACGCTTGCTCACCTTGAATTCTTTTGCTTCCTCAGGACTCACACGCTTCTCTTGAATCATCCCTGACCTGAGCACTGTCATTTCCTGAACATTTTGCTCTCAGTCCTTTAGGTGGAAAGGCACAGATTTCTCTGTGTGGCCTGGGCTCTAACTTCTCATCAGGGCTGCTGATTTGTCCCTCTCTTCCCTGTAAACTTCTGTTCTCCCTGCTTTGCCCTCCTCTTAGCTAAAAAACACAGACTTGGTATTTCCACAGCTTCTTTGAATTGCTTCTTTAACTTTCTGGGGTGGAGGAGGGAAGTCTTTTGAAAAGAAAACATGGGAACCCTTTGTGCAAAGGGCTGGGTTCATAATTCAGCATTATCCTGGAGCACACTAGGATAGTCAGCAAGTATGTGGTGTTGAAGATTTGCCAGATACCAGAGCTCTGGAGGACTGGAATATATTCTTCAGAGGGCTCTGGGGGCTGAGTACACAGCTATTCTTCTCTGAGCACAGAGCTAACAAACCTGTGAAAGCTGGGTTTTCCACTCCTCAGCTGCCACTTGGTAGCAAAACTTTTAGGAAAGTCCCACGTCCCCTTTGAGTACCTGGATTAGAAATGCATATTTAAGAGAGTCTCCACTTGTGATTCAAGGCCAGTAATTTTGGTGTCCAAATTTATGTGTTGTTCAAGTGCTCGATCCTACTGAGGCTTCACGGAATGTGGGCTCAAACCTGGGGTTAGATAATACAAAAAATGAAGCTGAAAGCCCCACAGCAATGATGATAAGATATCTGTGTTGGATATTACTACTAGGATTTTTACCTTTTAATATGTTCTGGTCCTTTGGAAGTCTGTGGCCATGCACCTGAGAAGGGGGAGCTTGGCATACCAGGTCAGGAAACGGAGACTACTTCAGTCCTCAGACATTTATCTATATCTACCTGTATGTTTATAAATATATATAAATACATAGATGTAAATATTTTCCCAAAATACCTTCTATGTGTAACGTTCCCCACTCCAGTTTCTCCAAGGAACCTCTGGAAATTTACAGCTGAACTGAGATTCCTGGTTTTGTAGGCAATTGTATCGTGTATTTAATAGATATGATAGATATGTGTAACCTCCATGTACAGCTGTTCTGTTTGTTGTGTTTTGGGTTTTTTTCTTTTCTCATTTCTTTTTTTTTTTTTTTTTCCACTTGGATTGTCAGAAGGTGGGAAAGTTTCTGATTACTCATGTTGATAAATCTGATGTCTGGTTTGGGATGAAGGGGAGGAGAGGCATGCCATTCTCTGCTTGCTGATGATTTACTTTTTGTATCTGGGACTAAAGCCAATATTTCTTTTCTCCTATTATATTTCATTTCTAGGACTGAATCCAGAAGTGACAGCCTTCCCATTAGTGTGATTTGTGGGTGGTTTGTTTTCATTTCAAGGGCTCCTCAGCACAGCCAGCAGCAGCCCAGTAGGTATCTTTTCAGCTGGATGCAAACCCAGGTGTGTTCTTATCATTTTAGAACTCCATACTTTAAAGTGCATAGAAAATATTCCCCAGAAACGGTTTAAACTGCATTTGCACAGTTAGAATAATGTAACTTGCTTTCTCTTATCAGTGTGATATTAGTACCAGTGCTGAATCAGTACCAGGGAAATAAATTCAAAAGTTCAAAGACATTTTTATCTTAATACACCAGCATGTGATCTGGGATTATAGTAAATATAGCCATGCTTGAGAGCAACCTCACCCTGACACATCCTGAGCTGGAAAAGCTAGTACTGTGTATTGAGCAAAGCCTTTGCCCAAAATCAGTATTAATAAACCTCAGGTTTAATCTGGCCCTTGCTGCACTCGGTCTCATGATGCTGCAGGGGCTTGTGCCTGCCAGAAAGGATGTTTTCCTCCTGTCTGAAGATCTGCCAAGATACAAACCACAGCAAGACTGGTTCTGTGGCAGCCTAAGTTGCAGAGGGGTAATGGAGCACTCTCTGAAGAGCAGGGAGGGAAGCTGTGGCAGCTGACAGGTGAAAAGCTGTCAGAACAGGACTCCTGAATCACAGCATGATTGCATTTTGGGAGACACCTTCAGTGAACAAGGGTTTTTAACAATGACTATTTTGTACAGGTGTGTGCAATTTTTTTAAAGTAACTTTTCAGGATGCTCTTTTAGCCCTGGCTGAATATTTTGGAGTCTCTGGCTTCCTGGCAGTGACTGGGAGTTGGAGTGCCTTGGCTGCATGCTTGCTCCTTATCACCTCTTAATCTGCTACACCCTTTCTGTTATTTTCCACATGAGGCATCCTAAGATGTGTAAAATGCTGGAAATGGACAGGGGGAGCGAGAATGAGGGGGAGTGACTGACCTGGTGCATGAGGCTGTGAGGGACCTCTACAAAGCAGGGCTGAGGAACATCGTGTTCTCACTGTGGGGCAGTAGATAACCAACTGGGACATCAGTTGGGACACAAATGTGCAAGATAACCTTTGCAAACACCTGGTGTGGGTTTCGTAGGCCCATATCTGAGGTGCTCTGGACTTGCATGGTGTGTTGAACAGGCAGTGGAAGCCAGCACGAACCTCTGGTGCTTAAAATCTACTCTAGCCTGAGCTGAATGGTCCCAACCTTCATTACAGAAGGGTGTGAAGCTGTATGTGATGCCATTGCACTGTATTTTTACCCCTTTCAGTGTATAAAGCTTTGTCTAGACTAGGATTTATGTCAGTTGTGAGATTAGCTCCTTGATGGCTGTAAACTCTAGCCTAGGTATGAATGTGTCTTTCATCCCTTTCAGAGCTTTTACCTTCCCTCCATTCCACGGGATTACACTCAGCAAGTTCAGTGCATGTGGTAGAGCTCAGTTTGGACCTTTTTTTTTAATTATTACTTACTTATTTATTTATTTTTATTGTTTTGTTTTGTTTTCCCCCCCTGGTGGTGTGGTGCTGTTGCTATTTGTAACAGAGTTGTGCACCCAGTCCTCACTGTAAGTGCTGCACAAACA